TTCCTACGCCCCCATGTTGGAGCAGGTCAGGGAAGTGTCAATCTGGATGAGCCTCCCCCTTCTCAGGAGCTGGACACAGGGATCACTAGGGCTGCGGGAATTGAAGAAGCTCCTCTCCTCCGGGCTCCCCGGCCAGGTTGTCCTTCATACTTCCCGCCAATGTTTCTCTCTCCTCACGCTGCGTCCATCTTTCCCAGCCATTTCTCTGACCAGAGCTGAGAGGGGAGTCTTCAGGATATATATACACATGCGTATTACTTATACGCGTTCTGGTTAGTGTGAATTTCTGCCATTTGCACTGGGAATCACGGAGCACTGTTTTCACTGGACTGTGTTTATTATCACTTTTCATCATTTCCTTTAGAGCGCTGCATTTTGTTTGTATATGAATTTTGGGACTTTTTATGCGTTTTCCTTTAATGTTCAGCTGCTGTGACTGTCGATGAGCGCTTACTATATATTTTATTATCCTCAGCACTGATAGGTGGCACTGACTGGTGCAACCTCTGCACTGCTGACTGCATTGGTGGGCACAGGTGGGTGGCATTGGTGAGTGGCATTGGTGGGCACAGGTGGGTGGCATTGGTGGGTGGCATTGGTGGGCACAGGTGGGTGGCATTGGTGGGCACAGGTGGGTGGCATTGGTGGGCACAGGTGGGTGGCATTGGTGGGCACAGTGGGTGGCATTGGTGGGCACAGGTGGGTGGCGCTGCTGGGCACCGATCATCAGCGCACTAATCATCGGTGCCGATCCCTACTCTGACAACTGCCGGTTCTTGGCAGTACTTTCCTCAGAAGAAGGAACTGAGGGGGGGGGGGGGGGGGGGGGGATGTCAGAGATCTATCCAGACATCTCCAACACATCTCCACAGCCCTGGGAGAGTCGCTGCTCTCGTGCACATTGCTGGATCGGGATGGGGCTCAGGAAAGTATTGGGGGGCTGGGGGGGGGGGAGCTGCACACAGAAGGGTTCAGAACCACTTTAATACTTTTTGTATTGGAAGTCTGTAATGCCAGAGGAAGACAAATGCAGACGATTTACAACGAATTAATGGAGGGAGAAGAAAGAACGTCATGTATAGGGAGGTCAGCAATCAGCAAAGACATGATCTATGGGGGATTCCTCCTCTGTGGGGGGAGGGGGAGGCGGCTTCCTATGGAGGGAGAACAAAGAACGTCAAGTATAGGGAGGTCAGCAAAGACATGATCTATGGGGATTCCCCCCTCTGTGTGGGGGAGGTGGCTTCCTATGGAGGGAGAACAAAGAACGTCAAGTATAGGAAGGTCAGCAAAGACATGATCTATGGGGGATTCCCCCTCTGTGTGGGGAGGCGGCTTCCTATGGAGGGAGAACAAAGAACGTCAAGTATAGGGAGGTCAACAATCCAGCAAAGACATTTATGGGGGATTCCCCCCTCTGTGCGGGGAGGGGGGAGGCAGCTTCCTATGGAGGGAGAACAAAGAACGTCAAGTATAGGGAGGTCAGCAAAGACATGATCTATGGGGGATTCCTCCCTCTGTGCGGGGGAGGGGGAGGTGGCTTCCTATGGAGGGAGAAGAAAAGAACGTCAAGTATAGGGAGGTCAGCAAAGACATGATCTATGGGGGATTCCCCCTCTGTGCGGGGGAGGGGGGAGGCAGCTTCCTATGGAGGGAGAACAAAGAACGTCAAGTATAGGAAGGTCAGCAAAGACATGATCTATGGGGGATTCCCCCCTCTGTGTGCGGGGGGGGGGGGGAGGCGGCTTCCTATGGAGGGAGAACAGACTTACAATTCCTGGATATATTCGTCCTTCACACACAGAGATACGCCGTATTCCTGGAGGAGACCCGTCAGACACGTCTTCAGCTTCCCGAAATCTCCCTCTACTTGGTAGTTATAGACACCTGCATGAGAAGAACACGGGATGGATGAGGGGGGCCCTGTGGGGGACAGTCCCGGGTTCAGACGAGAGACTCGCTGAATGGACCAAAACGCCTTCAATAATCTCTGGTTGGGTTTAAGCTCCGAGATTTGACACGTTTTCCCTGAACAATCCGATTTGTTTTCTGTGTTTTGTGATTGGTGTCGATAGTCGTCTGCCTTTGTATTCTGAAGGTCATCAGCGCAGCAATGGGATGGATCGGATCAGTCATGGGATATCGGGGGAGGGAGACGGGATATCGGGGGAGGGAGACAGGGATATCGGGGGAGGGAGACGGGATATCGGGGAGGGAGACGGGGATATCGGGGAGGGAGACGGGATATCGGGGAGGGAGACGGGATATCGGGGGAGGGAGACGGGATATCGGGGGAGGGAGACGGGATATCGGGGGAGGAGACGGGATATCGGGGGAGGGAGACGGGATATCGGGGGAAGGGAGACGGGGAACATACGGATATCGGGGGAGGGAGGGAGACGGGATATCGGGGGAACAGTCACGGGATATCGGGGGGGGAGACGGGATATCGGGGGAACAGTCACGGGATATCGGGGGAGGACAGACGGGATATCGGGGGAGGGAGACGGGATATCGGGGGAAGAGTCACGGGATTATGGAACGGGTTGTCTGGAGTTACACTTCCCCCCCCCTTCCAATCCAGACACTAAATACGATGGGGGGGAACCCTTCCAGTCGGGACACTCCCCCCCTTCCAGTCGGGAACACTCCCCCCCTTCCAGTCACGGGACACTATGGAACCTTTGTCCAGAGGACACTCCCCCCCCCCCCTCCCAGTCCGACACTCCCCCCCCCTTCCCAGTCCGGACACTTCCCCCCCCCCCCTTCCAGTCCGGACACTTCCCACCCCCCCCCCTTCCAGTCCGGACACTTCCCCCCCCCCAGTCCGGACACTCCCCCCCCCCTTCCAGTCCGGACACTCCCCCCCCCTCCAGTCCGGACACTTTCCCCCCCCTTCCAGTCCGGACACTTTCCCCCCCCCTCCCAGTCCGGACACTTTCCCCCCCCCCTTCCAGTCCGGACACTTTCCCCCCCCCCCCCACCTTCCAGTCCGGACACTTTCCCCCCCCTTCCAGTCCGGACACTTTCCCCCCCCTTCCAGTCCCCGGACACTTTCCCCCCCCCCCCCCCCCCTTCCAGTCCGGACACTTTCCCCCCCTTCCAGTCCGACACTTTTCCCCCCCCTTCCAGTCCGGACACTCCCCCCCCCTTCCAGTCCGGACACTCCCCCCCCTTCCAGTCCGGACACTCCCCCCCCCCTTCCAGTCCGGACACTCCCCCCCCCCCCCTTCCAGTCCGGACACTCCCCCCCCCCCCCTTCCAGTCCGGACACCCCCCCCCCCCCTTTCCCCTTCCAGTCCGGACACTCCCCCCCCCCCCCACTTCCAGTCCGGACACTCCCCCCCCCTTCCAGTCCGGACACTTCCCCCCCCCTTCCAGTCCGGACACTTTCCCCCCCCTCCAGTCCGGACACTCCCCCCCCCCCTTCCAGTCCGGACACTCCCCCCCCCCTTCCAGTCCGGACAGGACACTTTCCCCCCCCCTTCCAGTCCGGACACTCCCCCCCCCCCTTCCAGTCCGGACACTCCCCCCCCCCCCCCCTTCCAGTCCAGACACTCCCCCCCCCCCCTTCCAGTCCGGACACTCCCCCCCCCTTCCAGTCCGGACACTCCCCCCCCCCCCCCTTCCAGTCCGGGACAATCCCCCCCCCCCTTCCAGTCCGTCCAATCCCTTTCCCCCCTTCCAGTCCAGTCCGGACATCCCCCCCCCCCTTCCAGTCCGGACACTTTCCCCCCCCCCCCTTCCAGTCCAGACACTTTCCCCCCCTTCCAGTCCAGACACTTTCCCCCCCTTCCAGTCCAGACACTCCCCCCCCCCCCTTCCAGTCCAGACACTTTCCCCCCCCCCAGTCCGGACAATCCCCCCCTTCCAGTCCAGACACTTTCCCCCCCCTTCCAGTCCAGACACTTTCCCCCCCCTTCCAGTCCAGTACTCCCCCCCCCCCCCCCCCCCCCCCTCCAGTCCAGACACTTTCCCCCCCCCCCCCCTTCCAGTCCGGACACTCCCCCCCCCTTCCAGTCCGGACACTTCCCCCCCCCCTTCCAGTCCGGACACTCCCCCCCCCTTCCAGTCCGGACACTCCCCCCCCCCCCCTTCCAGTCCGGACACTCCCCCCCCCCCCCCCCCCTTCCAGTCCGGACGCTTCCATTTTGGTGGGATTCCTCTGGGATTCCTATTTGTTTGCTATATAAATGAAAAAGTCCAAAAATTTGAAAAGTTTTTTCTTATTACATTCTGCAAATAAATAATTTTTCTTCATAAATCTCAGCCAAAATGTATTCCGTTATCTTTTTAGTAAAAAAAAATAACCCAAATTAGTTTATAACCAAAAATTATAATTTTTCAAAAAGTTTTTTTACATTTGTATTTTTCTTTAAATATTATTATTTATGTTTTTTTTTAACATACCGTCACCATGGTGACACTGTACTACTTGTGGGGGGTGATGAAGATTTTGTTTTCTTTTTTTACACCCATAAAGGATGTAAGAGGAATCATTTCCTCCTCTCTCTGGATGCATTCCTGCAGCATTGAGAAATACTGTGTGAGCTGTGATTGGTCACAGCTTGTCACATGGTACATGGCAGTTGTGAATGGCCCTGTACCACGTGATCTCTGTTATCAATCATAGATTTCACACGTAGTAAGCAATGATGTCAGGAAGAGGAGGAGTTCTGCTTTAATGACACCAAGAGCAGACATCATCCGCAGTGTCATGTGACCTTCGAATCCTCGTGGGAGGGGTTATATAAACACAAAATCAATCTGAACACCAGATGGAGGTCTCAGGTTCCTGACAACAAAGGAATCGGGGCCCCAGCACAGCAATGTCTGGGAGGGAAGCAGGAGCCGGGCCGGCTTGGATGATTCTTCTCCATCCTTTCTATGGCTGAATTAGGAATGCTGTTAGAGAATATGAATGAAGAGGCCAGACCACCATAGTGCAGTGCCCGGGGGTCCCGTGTGCTCCGCTTCACTCCCTCCGCACTATGTGTATGGATGTAGATAGAGACCACGTACCCGGGTACCGTCCGTGCTGCTTGTGGAACCGGTCCACCGCTCTCAGCATCAAATACAAGACGATTTCATTGTCTGGATTCTCCATAAACGATACTGAAAGACAAGGAGAGTCAGTCAGAGCTGCAGCCGCTCATTCCGCACCCACCCGGAGCCGTCTGTACAGGAGAGCGCACCCCACACCCACCCGGAGCCGTCTGTACAGGAGAGCGCACCCCGCACCCACCCGGAGCCGTCTATACAGGAGAGCGCACCCCGCACCCACCCGGAGCCGTCTGTACAGGACAGCGCACCCACCCGGAGCCGTCTGTACAGGACAGCGCACCCCACACCCACCCGGAGCCGTCTGTACAGGACAGCGCACACCCGCACCCACCCGGAGCCGTCTGTACAGGACAGCGCACCCCGCACCCACCCGGAGCCGTCTGTACAGGAGAGCGCACCCCGCACCCACCCGGAGCCGTCTGTACAGGACAGCACACCCCGCACCCACCCGGAGCCGTCTGTACAGGACAGCGCACCCCGCACCCACCCGGAGCCGTCTGTACAGGACAGCGCACCCCACCCACCCGGAGCCGTCTGTACAGGAGAGCGCACCCCGCACCCACCCGGAGCCGTCTGTACAGGAGAGCGCACCCCCCGCAGGAGAGCCACCCACCCGGAGCCGTCTGTACAGGAGAGCGCACCCCCGCACCCACCCGGAGCCGTCTGTACAGGAGAGCGCACCCCGCACCCACCCGGAGCCGTCTGTACAGGAGAGCGCACCCACCCGGAGCCGTCTGTACAGGAGAGCGCACCCCGCACCCGGAGCCGTCTGTACAGGAGAGCGCACCCCCGCACCCCACCCGGAGCCGTCTGTACAGGAGAGCGCACCCACCCACACCGGAGCCGTCTGTACAGGACAGCGCACCCCCGCACCCACCCGGAGCCGTCTGTACAGGACAGCGCACCCCGCACCCACCCGGAGCCGTCTGTACAGGAGAGCGCACCCACCCGGAGCCGTCTGTACAGGAGAGCGCACCCCGCACCCGGAGCCGTCTGTACAGGAGAGCGCACCCACCCGGAGCCGTCTGTACAGGAGAGCGCACCCACCCGGAGCCGTCTGTACAGGAGAGCGCACCCACCCGGAGCCGTCTGTACAGGAGAGCGCACCCACCCCACCCGGAGCCGTCTGTACAGCGAGCGCACCCACCCGGAGCCGTCTGTACAGGAGAGCGCACCCCACCCGGAGCCGGCCGTCTGTACAGGAGAGCACCCACACCCACCCACGGAGCCGTCTGTACAGGAGAGCGCACCCCACCCGGAGCCGTCTGTACAGGAGAGCGCACCCCCACCCGGAGCCGTCTGTACAGGAGAGCGCACCCACCCGGAGCCGTCTGTACAGGAGAGCGCACCCACCCGGAGCCGTCTGTACAGGAGAGCGCACCCACCCGGAGCCGTCTGTACAGGAGAGCGCACCCACCCGGAGCCGTCTGTACAGGAGAGCGCACCCACCCGGAGCCGTCTGTACAGGAGAGCGCACCCACCCGGAGCCGTCTGTACAGGAGAGCGCACCCACACACCGGAGCCGTCTGTACAGGAGAGCGCACCCACCCGGGAGCCGTCTGTACAGGAGAGCGCACCCACCCCGGAGCCGTCTGTACAGGAGAGCGCACCCACACCCGGAGCCGTCTGTACAGGAGAGCGCACCCACACCCACGCACCCGGAGCCGTCTGTACAGGAGAGCGCACCCACCCGGAGCCGTCTGTACAGGAGAGAGCGCACCCACCCGGAGCCGTCTGTACAGGAGAGCGCACCCACCCGGAGCCGTCTGTACAGGAGAGCGCACCCACCCGGAGCCGTCTGTACAGGAGAGCGCACCCACCCGGAGCCGTCTGTACAGGAGAGCGCACCCACCCGGAGCCGTCTGTACAGGAGAGCGCACCCACCCGGAGCCGTCTGTACAGGAGAGCGCACCCACCCGGAGCCGTCTGTACAGGAGAGCGCACCCACCCGGAGCCGTCTGTACAGGAGAGCGCACCCACCCCGGAGCCGTCTGTACAGGAGAGCGCACCCACCCGGAGCCGTCTGTACAGGAGAGCGCACCCACCCCCGGAGCCGTCTGTACAGGAGAGCGCACCCACCCGGAGCCGTCTGTACAGGAGAGCGCACCCCACACCCACCCAGAGCCGTCTATACAGGAGAGCGCACCCCGCACCCACCCGGAGCCATCTGTACAGGAAAGCGCACCCCCGCACCCACCCGAAGCCGTCTGTACAGGAAAGCGCACCCCGCACCCACCCGGAGCCAAGTCTGTACAGGACAGCGCACCCACCCGGAGCCGTCTGTACAGGAGAGCGCACCCCACACCCACCCGGAGCCGTCTGTACAGGACAGCGCACACCCACAACCCACCCAGAGCCGTCTGTACACACTGGTCAGAGATCGGCCATCTCAGCAGGGGCCAAATGAAGAACCCCCCCCCCCACGTCATACTTCCTGCTCTGTAATGGTTTTATATGTACAGTCTGAAGGACAGAAGGGGAGACATGAAACCTTTACATCCATCTAGGGGGTGTCGGCAACCCGCGGCTCCGGAGCCGCATGCGGCTTTTTTTCCCACCTTTCCTGCGGCTCCGGAGCACACTGCCCCACCAGGTGACAGGCAATAGGGTCGGCAAGCCGCGGCTCTTTTAATGCAGATCTTCTGTGTGCCGGCGCCCGCTGGCAAACATTGGCTGTCAGGATGTAGGCGGGGCAGCCCGGATGTAGGCGGGGAGCGTGACGAACCACCTTCCTCTCACAGTCCGCCCTGAAGACCAGAACAGCGCGGGAACCCAGCGAGAGGAACGCGCGGAGCAAAGGTAAGTGAATTCACACAATAAGGGAATGAATTACTATGGGGATGAATTACTATAATGGGGGATGAAACCCTATGGGGGATGAATTACTATATGGGGGATGAATTACTATATGGGGGATGAATTACTATATGGGGGGATGAATTACTATGATGGGGGATGAATTACTATATGGGGGGATGAATTACTATATATGGGGGAATGAATTACTATATGGGGGATGAATTACTACTATATGGGGATGAATTACTATATGGGGGATGAATTACTATATGGGGGATGAATTACTACGGGGAATGAATTACTATATGGGGGATGAATTACTACGGGGGGATGAATTACTATATGGGGGATGAATTACTATATGGGGATGAATTACTATATGGGGGATGAATTACTATAGGGGGGATGAATTACTATATGGGGGATGAAATTACTATAGGGGGGATGAAATTACTACGGGGGATGAATTACTATATGGGGGATGAATTACTATAGGGGGGATGAATTACTATATGGGGGATGAATTACTACGGGGGATGAATTACTATATGGGGGATGAATTACTATAGGGGGGATGAATTACTATAGGGGGATGAATTACTATGGGGGATGAATTACTATATGGGGGATGAATTACTATATGGGGGGATGAATTACTATATGGGGGAAGAATTACTATACATAGGGGGATGAATTACTATGGGGGGGATGAATTACTATATGGGGGATGATTACTATATGGGGATGAATTACTATATGGGGGATTGAATTACTATATGGGGGATGAATTACTATATGGGGCCAGCTGATGAATTACTATATGGGGGATGTATTTTCAGTTTTAAAAAGTGTTTTCTCTCAAAATAAATTTCAATCGTTGGTTTTGGCGAGATTTGGCTCAGTCGAAAAAAAAGGTTGCCCACCACTGACCTAAGGCTATGATTGTGATTATGACATACACGTGTGGCCCTGATTAACCCTTTGCTTACTGGGCCAAACCCCTTCATGGACCAGAGCGCTTTTTGATGCAATATATGCAGTGTCGGATTTGTTTTAAATGTTGCAATGGTTTTGCGGCTCCCAGTCTTTTTTCCCCCTCTGTAATCGGAAACGGGTCCAAGTGGCTCTTTATGTCTTAAAGGTTGCAGACCCCTGATCTAGGGGGTGAAGAAGGGTCAGGGGGGGGATTTCCACATGAAACCAAATAGCAGACCCCGAGGAGCGGCCCGAACTAGCGAGGAAAGTTCACAACTCATCACACAAAGTATATTATTCTACTGAAGGAGTAGTTGGGCCGGGAATAGACTCCCCGCAGGGACGGGGGGGCAGCAATAAATGGCCTCAGACTTGTGTGGGGCAAACATCCATCTATACTCAGACTAAACAATGGAAGAACAAAAATACAAAACACGACAGAAAACTAAAATAAAAACGATGTCAGACTCCATGGATGGTCCAGTTTATTCTGCTTCCTTCACTTTTCTAAAGGCTTCAACCCCAAGCCTCCTTTTCTGGGGTCCCCCCCCACCAGGGCTCCTGCCCCCCCTACTGAGTGCCCCTGGGGCAAAATGCTTGCTATGGGGGCACTTGTGTGGGCTTGCTCCCAGCTGGGCAAAGGTGTGGGGATGGACAGCTCTGTGGTTTGCCAGTTCTGATTGGACATTCGGTTACACAGAGCCGTCCCTCCCCAAGGCGGAACAAAGCAATGGGGGAGCAAAAAGAAAGGCAAGTATATGTCATCGGGGGGAAGGGCCATTAAAGGGTAATTCCACTTTTTTCAGTCAAATTGAGAAAATCTCACAAAAATGTTTATGTTCCTCCAATCACAGGCTGTATACAAAAAGATCACTTCTCTTCCTAGAGCAGATCTTTGGATGGCTTGCCAGCTACTCAGAACAAATGGTCAGTGGGGCCAAAGTGGAGGGACAATGTGGGGCCAGTGTGGGACGACGTGGGGCCAGTGTGGGGACGACGTGGGGCCAGTGTGGGGACGACGTGGGGCCAGTGTGGGGACGACGTGGGGCCAGTGTGGGGACGACGTGGGGCCAGTGTGGGGACGACGTGGGGCCAGTGTGGGGACGACGTGGGGCCAGTGTGGGGACAACGTGGGGCCAGTGTGGGGACAACGTGGGGCCAGTGTGGGGGACAACGTGGGGCAGTGTGGGGACAACGTGGGGCCAGTGTGGGGACAACGTGGGGCCAGTGTGAGGACAACGTGGGGCCAGTGTGAGGACAACGTGGGGCCAGTGTGAGGACAACGTGGGGGACAACTAGGGGAGTGTGAGGACACGTGGGGCAACGTGTGTGAGGACAACGTGGGGCCAGTGGGGGACAACATGGGGCCAGTGTGAAGACAACGTGGGGCCAGTGTGAAGACAACGTGGGGCCAGTGTGAAGACAACGTGGGGCCAGTGTGGGACAACATGGGGCCAGGCTGATCTTCCCCTCATACAATACACACCCTTTGTTAGCACAGACAGTGTGCACATCCACCTTACAAGTGATAATGAGATCTGCCAGCGCAGTAATAACAAGACTAGTTGTGGTACACATGACCTCCTCAGCCCCTCCCCCACCTGACAGAGGAAAATGTCTGCCTTGGAGATTTCAGAACAGAACGTAATAAACGAGAGCAGAAAATGTTCATTGTTTGTGTTCTGCTCTGCGGGACGGGAAATGTGACGTCATGAAGTCGCTGTTATCCCAATTTGGCTGCAAAAGTGGAAAAGTAATAAAGAGAAACGATCGTTTGTATCTGGAAGCCGAGTAATCGCTTACCAATGTCATCTTTGTTAGCCGTGTCCAGACCGTACTCCTCCGACAGAGACCTCCCCCCGCACAACCCGAAGGAACGCGCAATTCCTACCTGAACCAGGAAACAAATACATGACAGTCTGAAGGAGGGAGATCTCCTCTCACTTCCTGTTGTGGTGGAGACAGGAAATGAAGGGAAATCTCCCCAATAGGGAGCAGATGGCAGAAAAATCCTGGCAGGGGTGATGACCCCCCCAACTAAATCCAAAATGGAATAAAGAAGAGGAGGAGAAAGGAGGAGGAAGGAGGAGGAGGAGAAAGAAGGAGGAGAAAGAAGGAGGAAGAAGGAGGAGGAGGGAGGAAGAAGGAGGAGGAGGGAGAAGAAGGAGGAGAGGGGAGGAAGAAGGAGGAGGAGGGGAGGAAATGAAGAAGTGAGGAGGAGGGGAGGAAGAAGGAGGAGGAGGGGAGGAAGAAGGAGGAGGGGAGGAAGAAGGTGGGAGGCAGAAGAGGAGGAGGGGGAGGAAGAAGGAGTAGGAAGAAAAGAGGAAGGAGGAGAAAAAAGAAGGAGGAGGAGAAAGGATAGAATGAGGGAGGATGAAGAAGAAGGAGGAAAGTGGAGGAGGAGACACCAGAACCTCATAAACAGTAAAGCTCCCCCATACACATTACAATCTAAAGTACGAGAATCTCCTTCAACATCCACCGACAACGATGAAGGCGCTCCAGCTCCTTCTGATTTGGATGTAGACAAGAACCCCATTACTGCGAATTGTTTTTATAAAGTCGAATCCAGAAACAGAAGATCTGAGAAGATGTAATGGAGATTGTACAACGAGATTGAAGGTGTGTGTCGCCAGGTAGGGGTGAGGGAAAAGAATATAAAAATTGGCAGGGGGGGGGGTGGAGGAACGGGGATTGGAAGGTGGGGGGAGGGGGGGGTCGGGGGGGGGGGGGGTAAAACTCGTGGCGTCAAGGTAATGGGGCGGGAGGGGGGGGGGGGGGGGGGGTAATATCATATCTGGTCAGTAAACATGGGGAATGGAAAGTATTGTGGGCACCCCAGCTAAAAAACATGTGTATCCATAATGTCGTCAATAAAGAAGCCAAGGAAAGATGGAAAAATCCATCCAAAGGCATCAAATTAACAGATTAACATTCTTATAATATGTCAACAAAAGTTAGATTTTATTTCCATCATTTACACTTTCAAAATAACACCCGAAAACAAAAAAAATGGCATCCTGCAAAAAAAACGTTTGGGCCCCCTGCAGAAAGTTATAGCAGCACCTGCCCCCTTTGCCAGCTGAGACCTGCGTAGTGTCATGGATTGTTCTCAATCATCGTCTGGGAAGACCATATTGAATGTCAATCTCAAAGGTTTTAAATGCCCCGACTCATCTGACCTTTGCCCCAACAATCAGCACCATGGCTTCTTCTAAGGCAGTTCTTGTCTAGAAAACTTAACTGAAAATAGTTGACACGCGCCACAAAGCTGGTAGAAGGCTATAAGAAGATAGCAAAGCGTTTTCAGATTTCAATATCCTCTGTGATGGAAAAAAAATCTAACTTTTGTTGACAAGCTTAATAACATTCTAATGTCTAATCTGTAATTTTATGCCTTTTTTGGAGATTTTTCCATCTTTCCCTTGGCTTCTTATGCACAATTAATACACATTTTTAGCTGGGGGGCCCAAACTTTCCACCCCCACTGTAAGATGCAGATGAAAACCACATTGTGCAACCGACACCGTCCTGCCCGTGAGGACAACACCCTCACGAGATTCCGATCCTGAACATGAAGTCGTACAAGGAGGAAAATGAGCTCAATAAACAAAAGCTCTGTTGTTGCAGGGGTCTCCCCCATCTCCCCCCCAAACCCCCCCCCCACCACGAGGATTCCCTCCATGGACCCCCCCACACAGAATCGACTCAAAGCACGGCTAGAAAGAGAGAAACGGGAGCCAGACACTGTAACTTGGATGGAAGAGTCCGGGATCGAATTTCATTGTTACATAAGAAATAAAACAAAACGTGTATCGGGGTGACACCTGCCCTCCCCCGTATCATTAGGTGACACCGCCAGATGACATTAGGGCGACACCCCTCCCCCCATCATTAGGGCGACACACACACATCATCGGGTCGATCAAACCCAATCCTGGACACTCCATTATCAAGAACACACTGAGCTCCCTCAGGGCCATCGATTCCTAGGGGCGACACCCCTCCCCCTCATTAGGGCGACACTTACAACTCCACCCCCCTCATACCCCCCCCCTCATCAGGGCGAAATTTCCTCTCTAGACACCCCTCCCCCCCTCATCATCTCACAATCCCCCCTCATTCGACCACCACCCCCCCTCATTTTAAGGAAGGCGAACACTTAAACCACTCCCCTCCCCACCTCATCAGGGACGACACACTCCTCCCCCCCTTCGGGAGCGACACAACCCCTCATTCTACACTAGCCCCCATCAGGTGCGGGGCGACACCCTTTCCCCCCATCGGGGTGCCCCCTTCCCCCACCCATTTGGGGGCGACACCCCCCCTCATACGATTTGGCGACATCCCTTCCCCCCTCATCGGGCGACACCCTTCCCCCCTCATATCGGGGCGAGGGGCCCCTATATGCCCTCATTAGGGCGACACTCCCTCCCCCCCATCAGGGCGACACTCATCCTCCCCCTCATCAGGGCAATTTCACCCCACCCCCCATCATGGGCAGACATCACTTTCCCCCACCTCAGTTACTAGGGCGACAATCCCTCAATTCCCTAACCCATCCCCCTCATCGTTACCATTCCCCCCCCCCCTCATCAGGATTGCTGACATTTAAACACGGTCCTACCTCTTTCCCCCACATCACGGCGACACCCTTCCTACCCCCCCCTCGGGGCGACCCTTACCCTTCCCCCCTATCGGGTGCCCACCCTTCCCCAATCATCAGGGTGACTATTTATATACCCTTTGACACCCCTCCCCCGGGGTTTTTTTTTCCCCACCTCCCCCCTCATCAGGCGTGACACCCCCCCCTTTCTCAGAGTTACCAACGCAGGAGAAAGCTCGGTGTTGACTAAAAGTCCACAGATCCATTGCAGAACCGGGAGTTCGCTTGAGCTGTTTTAGCACTGTGAGGTCGGATCTGACAGATCTAGAGATCATTGATTTCTCGGGAAGATCCACCCTGACTTGTCCAGTGTTGGGCCCCAATGAAGGTTGTTTGGCCCCTGAAATGTCGTAATTATCTTTTTATCCAACCACTTATACCGACATTTCCAATGATCCCGTACTCCCCTCCGTTTCCGGTCCGGTGCTCCGTCCTGCGGTTCTATCCATCGGTCATCAAATGTCAGAGAACAGAACTTACAGAAGAGGCGAATGTCTCTGTCCGATATGCTTTCCGGAGGCTGAAATGACAGCAGAGAAGGAAGACGACTTTTATCGAATATTCAATCACTTCTCAGCAATTACAGTCCAATGTTTTTAGGTTTTAACAACCAAATCTGCTCATGTATGGCTGTAATGCAGACAGATGGGAGGGGCTGGCACAGGTGGGGCGTGTCTAGTGTGGATGCCACAAGGGGGATTGGTGGCAATTGTGTATAAGGAGAATTTGCATTGAGCTGACAAAACCGGACAAGGAACTAAAAGTAGCTGGAAACCGCCTAGTGCCATCGCTTAGCCGCTGACCCACAAGGGGATTTTTTCCAACTTGGCAATTGTGCCTATAAGGAGGTCTCCCTGTCCTGGGCCAAGCCGCCCTCGGGGGTCTCCCACCCTGGAGACCGGCCCAGGGGTCATCCTCCCCCCTGCCGCTGCCCTCGGGGGGTCCCTCCCTGCCCTGGGCCAGCCGCCCTAGGGGGTCTCCCTGCCCTGGGCGCGCTTGCCCAAAATCGGGGGTCTCCCTGCCCTGGGCCGCGCCGGCCCTCGGGGGGGTCTCCCTGCCCTGGGGGGGGGGGCCGCCGCCCTCGGGGGTCCCCCCCTGCCCTGGGCCGCCGCCCCCCCCACCCCAGGGTCACACTAAATTACGCCCCCTACGCACACCACAATAAGGCAAGGATGACCCCCAGTATGATCCTCACCACTGCCCTGGGCCGCCGCCCTCGGGGGTCTCCCTGCCCCTGGGCCGCCGCCCTCGGGGGTCTCCCTGCCCTGGGCCGCCGCCGCCCTCGGGGGCGTCTGCCCTGGGCCCTCCCTCTAGGGGGTACCAATTTCCTGTATACACCACTATCCCCCCTCCTGTGTATACAATACACCGCTCTCCACTCGCCCCCTCCCCCCGTATGCACACCGCTCCCCTCCCATATACACCGCTCCCCCCCCACCCCCCCCCGTACTGCAAATTATCCTTCCCCTCCCCACTACCGCTCTAACCCCCGACATACACCGCTCCTCTCCCCCTGTATATGCAACACCCCCCCCACCCCACCTTTATTTGTATACACTGATCCTCCCTGCCCCCTCCCTGTATCCTGCCCCCCCACCCACCCTACAAAGAGGACAATCAGAAGTATGAAGTGAGTTCCCCTCCCCCGCCAGACGTTTCGGTTTTCGGCCTTTGCGTTTCGTTGTTGAATTTGCGGTTCCGGGTCAAAAGATGAGACCGCTGTGCTGCCAGACGGGCCGGGATCAGGAACCGCAATTGTGGACTTTTCAGAACTTTCCCGGGACAATTCCAGAACCCCAAATAAAGGAGCAGAAACCAGATAATCACCAACATGGGGGCACCTACCCTGGCCACCGACTGGAGGAGTTTGGAGACGCCGTGCTCCACCGCCGCCGCATCTTTTTTGGCTTTTTCCCGATACCTGGACAATGAAGACGGTCCTGTGATTATTATGGGAAGGAATGGTAGCCATGGTAACAGCCCACCTCAACAATCTATTCCCCTCCTTTAGGATATAGAAGTGTCTTGTTACATCTGATCAATAAGTGCAGAAAATACCTGCTGATCCCGCCAGAAAAGCCAGCCCTGCCCTGTGTACTCTGCAGGTTATCAGGTGTGGACAGGACTACAGAACACCTTCTCCCCCGTGTAATGGAACTGAGGGGGAGGTGTATTTATAGTCCTAGCACACAACACATGGATGAAGGGTGAAAACACTTCCTGTAGACACAACGCAGTGTTGTCCCCCTGCACAGGAAGTGTGTTAACTGGCAGGATCGCCAGGTGAAAAGAAGAAAACTAATGCAAGCCGCTACACATTCAAAGCGAAGTTCCAGTCACTGCCCCCCCCCCCCCCCCCCCCCCCCCCCCCCCCCCCCCCCCCCCCCCCCCCCCCCCCCCCCCCCCCCCCCCCCCCCCCCCCCCCCCCTTTTGGGTGGATCAGGTGACCCCCCACCCCCCCCCCCTGGATCCGGATTGTACCCCCCCCCCCCAAGAGATCCCGATCCCTGTGCTGCGTATGTGCTCTCCCAGCACAAAGACACATATGTACATATGTGGCCCCACAGAAAAAAACCCAGTCCAGGGGCCACATGTATGTGTGTGTGTGGCGGGAAAGAGTTAATCTGAACGTTTTATACAAAACCAGAAGGCAAATCGTTCAGGTCAGACGGAAGTCAGATGACTCCGCCCCCATCCATAGGTCACACAGACTCCGCCCCCCCCATACATCACACATACCAAGGAAAAGCCTCACACAGGGTCCTTCATCCTTCGGGAAGGAAACGGAAGCACGATGACTCCGCCCCCCATAGGTCACACAGACTCCCCCCCCCACCCCGTACCCCTCCCCACAGTCCCAAAGCCTTTGTAAGTCTACAAGTCCCCAGGCGTCCCCCCTTCAAGGGATCCAGCCTGCAGGTCAGACGGAAGTCAGATGACCCCGCCCCCATCCATAGGTCACACAGACTCCGCCCCCATCCATACATCACACATCGAGAAGGAAAGCCTTTGTAAGCTACAAGTCCCAGGCGTCCTTCATCCTTCGAAGGATCCGGCGTGCAGGTCAGACGGAAGTCAGATGACTCCGCCCCCATCCATAGGTCACACAGACTCCGCCCCCATCCATACATCACACATCGAGAAGGAAAGCCTTTGTAAGCTACAAGTCCCAGGCGTCCTTCATCCTTCAAGGGATCCAGCCTGCAGGTCAGACGGAAGTCAGATGACTCCGCCCCATCCATAGGTCACACCAGACTCCGCCCCCATCCATACATCACACATCGAGAAGGAAAGCCTTTGTAAGCTACAAGTCCCAGGCGTCCTTCATCCTTCGAAGGATCCAGCGTGCAGGTCAGACGGAAGTCAGATGACTCCGCCCCCATCCATAGGTCACACAGACTCCGCCCCCATCCATACATCACACACATCGAGAAGGAAAGCCTTTGTAAGCTACAAGTCCCAGGCGTCCTTCATCCTTCGAAGGATCCGGCGTGCAGGTCAGACGGAAGTCAGATGACTCCGCCCCCATCCATTCATACAAAGGCCATCAACCTGCCAATGCTTGCGCATTTTCCTGAACGGATATCATGGCGACACCGCGGTCAGCTGACGACCCAATCGGAGGCGTCTTGGACCGGAACGCTGTCTATAGACAGAAGTCTGACGCCGATTATATCAATGAAGGAAAAATGCTGCAGTGGGACGACTTGCCGGCCTCTGGTGTGTTTGTTGCAGCAACACGGAACTCCTGGAAGTATTCTGCTGTAACAAGTCGCTAGTTGAAGGGAATTCTGGGAACTTACACATTCTGCAGCTTTATGAACTTGTCGGAGTCGGCGATCATGTCTGGGATGGTTCCTCGCAGCGGCAAGTTCCCGTTGCCATCGGCGGCTGCAAACTCCTTAATGGCTCGAGCCAAAATCCAAAAGTTGGGGGTCTAGCGGTAAAAAGTCGACTGTCAGGGTCTTTGTTACACATTTAGGAAACGATCGGTGATTCTCTCTACACAGAACAGTTATGACCGACACCCTCAGATTCGGGGGATTCACAAAAGTGGACATTTCTATGAATACGGACCATCCTCAGAACGACTCCTTTATTAAATGAGCCCCTTTAAATGGACTTGGAGCCCATGACGCTGAACCTCTATATCTGGCCCTTGTACTCTGACACCAACAGAATCTAGTGACACCACCGTGACACCGGCCAACAGAATCTAGTGACACCACCGTGACACCGGCCAACAGAATCTAGTGACACCACCGTGACACCGGCCAACAGAATCTAGTGACACCACCGTGACACCGGCCAACAGAATCTAGTGACACCACTGTGACACCGGCCAACAGAATCTAGTGACACCACTGTGACACCGGCCAACAGAATCTAGTGACACCACCGTGACACCGGCCAACAGAATCTAGTGACACCACCGTGACACCGGCCAACAGAATCTAGTGACACCGGCCAACAGAATCTAGTGACACCACCGTGACACCGGCCAACAGAATCTAGTGACACCACCGTGACACCGGCCATGAGAGCTGTTCATAGAAAGGAAAAGCCTACCGAACAGCATGGGAACAATCGTCCCTGAAGTATAGCCGACCCGTACACATGGGACATCGGATCGAAGAAAGTGTGATGGTGGTCAAACCGTATGTTCAGTGGGGGCGGGGGTGGGGGTCTTAGCACTTCCTAGTGATGGGATGGCATTTACCCAGCAATTCTATGGGGGGGGCTCCTGCGGGTAAGTGGGGGAACCTATCGAAGATAACTGCCCCTTGATCTCCCTGCTCCAAAGAGAACCTGTTCTTTTCTCCCAAACAGACAAAATACCAACCAAACCCAACCAATGGCCTACAAAAGTCTAGAAGTGATGCCAGAGCAGGAAGAGTACCTGTGGTGTAATGTTGGTGCAGCGATCGTCATTGAAGATTTCTTCGATGTGTCCGGGACACTGCAGAGCAGAGACAGCGAATATGAAGAGAATTACCGGAACGGACGGGAAGGATGGGATACCATCAGACAAGAGGGACGTACCTTGGTGAGGTTCAATGCCGTGTTGACATTCTTCACCGCCTCCTCAAAGTTCTCCTCCTCGTCTTCAGGAACTCCATTCTCATTCTTTAGGACCCCTGAGACCCCAAACAACCAGATTATAATCGACTCCCCCGCTCCTCGCAGCTACAACGACTTCATCTGCATTAAGATTACTTATACAGTGTGTGTGAGAGAGAAAGACGGGGGGGGGGGGGGAGAGAAGGGAGAGGGGGGGGAGAGAGAAGGGGGAGAGAGAAGGGGGGAGAGGGGGGAGAGAGAGAGAAGGGAGAGGGGGGAACAGGAGAGAGAAGGGGGGGAGGGAGAGAGAAGGGGGGGGGAGAAAGAAGGGGGGAGGGAGAGAGAAGGGGGGGGAGAAAGAAGGGGGGAGGGAGAGAGAAGGGGGGGGGGGGAGAAAGAAGGGGGGAGGGAGAGAGAGAGAGGGGGGGGAGGGAGAGAGAGGGGGGGGGAGGGAGAGAGAAGGGGGGGGAGGGAGAGAGAAGGGGGGGGAGGGAGAGAGAAGGGGGGGGGTAGAGAGAAGGGGGGGGAGGGAGAGAGAGGGGGGGGGAGGGAGAGAGAAGGGGGGAGGGAGGGAGAGAGAGAAGGGGGGAGGCGAGGGAGAGAGAGAAGGGGGGGGGAGGGAGAGAGAAGGGGGGGGAGGGAGAGAGAAAGGGGGGGGAGGGAGAGAGAAGGGGGGAGGAGAGGAGAGAGAAGGGGGGGAGGGAGAGAGAGAAGGGGGGGGAGGGAGAGAGAAGGGGGGGGGGGGAGAGGAGAGAGAAGGGGAGGAGAGGGAGAGAGAAGGGGGGGAGAGGGAGAGAGAAGGGGGGGGAGAGGGAGAGAGAAGGGGGGGGCTTTTGTGAGGGAGAGAGAAGGGGGGGAGAGGGAGAGAGAAGAATTTATTCCTTTTCCTTTTTTTTTTTACCTTCTTGTCTGTCATGAGGAGAGGGGAGTGAGAGAGTAGGGGGGGGAGAGGGAGAGAGAAGGGGGGGGAAGGGGGGGGGATAGAGAGATGGGGGGGAGAGGGAGAGAGAGAAAGTGAGGGGGGGGAGGAAAGGGGGGGGGGAGAGAGAGAAGGGGGGAGAGAGATAAGAGGGGGGATGAGATGAGAGAGAGGGATGGGGGGGGGGGGGGGGGAGAGCGAAAGAAAGGGAGAAATGGGTAAGGGGTGAGAGGGAGAGAATATATTGCCCACCCCCAAATTATGTGATTCAGGTGTTCCAATCGGGGTCCGGGGAGAGCGGATATAGTGAATGCGGGGGGTCCGGGGAGAGAGCGGATATAGTGAATGCGGGGTCCGGGGAGAGCGGATATAGTGAATGCGGGGTCCGGGGAGAGCGGATATAGTGAATGCGGGGTCCGGGGGAGAGCGGATATAGTGAATGTGGGGTCCGGGGAGAGGGGATACGGTGAATGCGGGGTCCGGGGAGAGCGGGATACAGTGAATGCGGGGTCCGGGGAGAGCGGATATAGTGAATGCGGGGTCCGGGGGAGAGCGGATATAGTGAATGTGGGGTCCGGGGAGAGGGGATACGGTGAATGCGGGGTCCGGGGAGAGCGGATATAGTGAATGCGGGGTCCGGGGGAGAGCGGATATAGTGAATGCGGGGTCCGGGGGAGAGCGGATATATAGTGAATGCGGGGTCCGGGGAGAGGGGGATACGGTGAATGCGGGGTCCGGGGGAGAGCGGATATAGTGAATGCGGGGTCCGGGGGATGAGCGGATGAGAGCGGATATAGTGTGATTGCGGGGTCCGGGGAGAGGGGATACGGTGAATGCGGGGTCCGGGGAGAGCGGATATAGTGAATGCGGGGTCCGGGGAGAGCGGATATAGTGAATGCGGGGTCCGGGGAGAGCGGATATAGTGAATGCGGGGTCCCCGGGGAGAGCGGATACGGTGAATGCGGGGTCCGGGGAGAGCGGATACAGTGAGTGCGGGGTCCGGGGAGAGGGGATACGGTGAATGCGGGGTCCGGGGAGAGGGGATATAGTGAATGCGGGGTCCGGGGAGAGCGGATATAGTGAATGCGGGGTCCGGGGAGAGCGGATATAGTGAATGCGGGGTCCGGGGAGAGGGGATATAGTGAATGCGGGGTCCGGGGAGAGCGGATATAGTGAATGCGGGGTCCGGGGAGAGGGGATATAGTGAATGCGGGGTCCGGGGAGAGGGGATATATAGTGAATGCGGGGTCCGGGGAGAGGGGATATAGTGAATGCGGGGTCCGGGGGGAGAGCGGATACAGTGAATGCGGGGTCCGGGGAGAGCGGATACAGTGAGTGCGGGGTCCGGGGAGAGCGGATATAGTGAATGCGGGGTCCGGGGAGAGAGGATATAGTGAATGCGGGGTCCGGGGAGAGAGGATATAGGTGAATGCGGGGTCCGGGGAGAGCGGATATAGTGAATGCGGGGTTCTGGGTTTGCAATCACTGATTGGTTGGATTGCCTGGGAAGATCGAACTTTTCTCTGATTGGCTATTTCCAATGGAATTTCTGGGAATGAACACCCCACTGCGCTGGCAATAAATGAATGAAGAGACTGCAGCATCCGGCATAGACAGTGGCGCAGTATGCAATCCATTGGTGATAATTCAGACTGTTGCGGCTGATGCACATTAATGTCTATTGTTTGGCCCCGGTGGGAGCCTGTGTGGGGGGTCCCCCCTAGCATGCTGCGGTGCTGGCACTTTGTTTGGAACATTTGTGTCGATATCTTTTGCTCGATGGATTTTTGTACAATTAATGCTGCAAATAACAACAACAGATTCCAGAAAAACTCCAAAGCCTCGTGTTGACATTTCCGTATAAAAGGAAGACTTTACCTTGTCGGATGAAATCCCGGAAGGCTTCCTTATCTTTATATGTTTTCGGGATCTGTCCCGCGTTCTATGGAATACAATCCGTGTCAGAGAAGATTCCGCACCCGGGAGGAACGCTCAGTCACCCAACAGACATACAAACCTCTCTGCGCCATTTCTCCAAATGCTTGGCGACGATGACAATCCACGGCGTGTGTGAGAATGATCCTAAATATAAAGACGAATGATTGCCGAGACTCCACAGAAACCGCAATCCGAGAAACTCACCAACATCTCAACTAACCGCCCAAAACACACAAAAACACAAAGTCACGTCACAGAGAGAACACGCATGTCCCATCACACAGACAGTATATCCATGGAGAACACGCGTGTCCCACTACATAGACTGTATATCCATAGAGAACACGCATGTTCCATCACACAGACTGTATATCCATAGAGAACACGCATGTTCCATCACACAGACAGTATATCCATAGAGAACACGCATGTTCCATCACACAAACAGTATATCCATAGAGAACACATACAATATGTCCCGTGTACCTTCCTGTCCATGTGATCCAGGTCATACAGCTGCAGATGTTCTCGGAGCTCTGAGAACGGCTGGTCCAACCTCAGGTCCTCCAGGGCGTTGTCCGGATGGGATTCTATCACTGGAAGGGCACAGCAAGGAGGAGTTTAGCTGCAGAAAAGGAAACAGAAACTTCCCCGTCTACACTCTCCGGCCCAATGCCTGAGGACTCCCGACCTTCCCACATCTAACCAGCCAAATGCTTGAGGACTCCCGACCTTCCCACATCTAACCGGCCCAATGCCTGAGGACTCCCGACCTTCCCACATCTAACCAGCCAAATGCTTGAGGACTCCCGACCTTCCCACATCTAACCGGCCAAATGCCTGAGGACTCCCGACCTTCCCACATCTAACCGGCCAAATGCTTGAGGACTCCCGACCTTCCCACATCTAACCGGCCAAATGCCTGAGGACTCCCGACCTTCCCACATCTAAACAACCAAATGCCTGAGGACTCCCGACCTTCCCACATCTAACCGACCAAATGCTTGAGGACTCCCGACCTTCCCACATCTAACCGGCCCAATGCCTGAGGACTCCCGACCTTCCCACATCTAACCGGCCAAATGCCTGAGGACTCCCAACCTTCCCACATCTAACCGGCTAAATGACTGAGGACTCCCGACCTTCCCACATCTAACCGGCTAAATGACTGAGGACTCCCGACCTTCCCACATCTAACCGCTAAATGACTGAGGACTCTCCCGACCTTCCCACATCTAACCAACCAAATGCTGAGGACTCCCGACCTTCCCACATCTAACCAACCAAATGCCTGAGGACTCCCGACCTTCCCACATCTAACCACCAAATGCCTGAGGACTCCCGACCTTCCCACATCTAACCGGCCAAATGCCTGAGGACTCCCGACCTTCCCCCACATCTAACCGGCCAATGCCTGAGGACTCCCCGACCTTCCCACATCTAAACAACCAAATGCCTGAGGACTCCCGACCTTCCCACATCTAACCGGCCAAATGCCTGAGGACTCCCGACCTTCCCACATCTAAACCGGCCAAATGCCTGAGGACTCCCGACCTTCCCACATCTAACCGCTAAATGACTGAGGACTCCCGACCTTCCCACATCTAACCGGCCAAATGCCTGAGGACTCCCGACCTTCCCACATCTAACCGGCCAAATGCCTGAGGACTCCCGACCTTCCCACATCTAACCGCTAAATGACTGAGGACTCCCGACCTTCCCACATCTAACCGGCCAAATGCCTGAGGACTCCCGACCTTCCCACATCTAACCAACCAAATGCCTGAGGACTCCCGACCTTCCCACATCTAACCGGCCAAATGCCTGAGGACTCCCGACCTTCCCACATCTAAACCGGCCAAATGCCTGAGGACTCCCGACCTTCCCACATCTAAACAACCAAATGCCTGAGGACTCCCGACCTTCCCACATCTAACCGGCTAAATGACTGAGGACTCCCGACCTTCCCACATCTAACCGGCTAAATGACTGAGGACTCCCGACCTTCCCACATCTAACCGGCTAAATGCCTGAGGACTCCGGACCTTCCCACATCTAACCAGCCAAATGCCTGAGGACTCCCGACCTTCCCACATCTAACCGGCCAAATGCTTGAAGACTCTCAACCTTCCCTTGAAATGAATTCACAGATTTCCAGTGCCAGGAACTTTGTACAGCGCCACCCAAGTGCAGCATAAAAGAATAGCCAAATGCCACAGTAAGTCCTGCGTGTGTCATGGATCATTGCATACTGTGGCATGTGAGTTGGTGTTTTGGCTTTATTATTAAAGGTGTTCTTTGTCTCTGTCCCCTGTCCCCCGTATCTCCATCCCGTCCCCCATGTCTCCGTCCCCTGTCCCCCGTGTCTCCGTTCCCCGTGTCTCCGTCCCCTGTCCCCCGTGTCTCCGTCCCCCGTGTCTCCGTCCCCCGTGTCTCCGTCCCCCGTGCCTCCGTCCCCCCGTGCCTCCGTCCCCCCGTGTCCTCCGTTCCCCCGTGTCTCCGTTCCCCCGTGTCTCCGTTCCCCCGTGTCTCCGTCCCCCGTGTCTCCGTTCCCCCGTGTCTCCGTTCCCCCGTGTCTCCGTTCCCCCGTGTCTCCGTGTCTCCGTTCCCCGTGTCTCCGTTCCCCCGTGTCTCCGTTCCCCCGTGTCTCCGTTCCCCCGTGTCTCCGTTCCCCCGTGTCTCCGTTCCCCCGTGTCTCCGTTCCCCCGTGTCTCCGTTCCCCCGTGTCTCCGTTCCCCCGTGTCTCCGTTCCCCCGTGTCTCCGTTCCCCCGTGTCTCCGTTCCCCCGTGTCTCCGTTCCCCCGTGTCTCCGTTCCCCCGTGCCTCCGTTCCCCCGTGCCTCCGTTCCCCCGTGCCTCCGTTCCCCCGTGTCTCCGTCCCCCGTGCCTCCGTCCCCCGTGCCTCCGTCCCCCGTGTCTCCGTCCCCCGTCCCTCCGTCCCCCGTGCCTCCGTCCCCCGTGCCTCCGTCCCCCGTGTCTCCGTCCCCCGTGCCTCCGTCCCCCGTGCCTCCGTCCCCCGTGCCTCCGTCCCCCGTGCCTCCGTCCCCCGTGTCTCCGTCCCCCGTGTCCCCCATCTCTGATGTAGTCTGGACTGCACTCACCGGTATGCTCTTTAACAATTATTCTCATATATCCCACAAAGCCGTACGCTCGGCAGATCACAAGCGGGATATTGGCGTTCCACAGCGTCTCCGCCAAACACAGCAAAGTGCTGGAGGAAAGAAATGGAGACATGAATGGGAGCGGAGATCCCGCCACACAAGAGGAGGTCAGTGTTCACCGAGCAGCCAATCAGATTGTTGCACTTCTCCTAGTTGGGTGCAGTCAGGTGATCAGAAGATGATTTGTGATTGGGCGCTCTGTAGAATGCAGCACACTGACCCCCCCCCCACCCCCGACCCACTCACCTGGTCAGTGCCCCCCCCCCCGGTGCTCCTTCCTTGTAGCCGGCACCACAGTACCCAGTGTAGGCTGTTGGGGGGGGAGTGGTAACATCACGCTCTCTGACATGTGACAGTATACAGGCCTGCCGATTGGCCACTATGCCCGATCACATGAGAGCAGTGGTGGGGGATGTGACTATATCAGGGGGGTGGGGGCCCCTGGACCCCACACTGGTAATAAGTGATGTGTATATGAAAGCAAACGGCCGACATGGCAGCCTTACCTCTCCGGCAACTGAGTGGCGATCACTAAAGTGAACTTGTTGAAGAAGGACGGATCCCCGTCCAGGAGATGGTCTGGATGCTAAAGGAAGAGAAAGTTCTACAGTCAGAAATACAACATTCACCTTCAATCCACAGACATCCCCAAACATTCAACCCACTTCCTGTGAGCCCAGGTTGTCCCTGACAAACCCCAGCCAGTCACTAGGCAGTGAAGCAGAATCAGCACCGTGATGAGCTCATCGCTTTGTTTTCTCCTCCTATCAGCGTGCTTCTGGTCATCGCATGAACTGTAGGATCTCCCACACATTGCTGTACAGAGACTGCCAGAGGCATTCAGGTCACATTCAGGGACATTCACTGCGCACATCTGAACAGAGCATCAAATGATGTCATAGCCATCCCTGAACAGAGCATTGAATGATGTCATAGCCATCCCCGAACAGAGCATCGAATGATGATGTCATAGCCATCCCCGAACAGAGCATTGAATGATGTCATAGCCATCCCCGAACAGAGCATCGAATGATGTCATAGCCATCCCCCTGAACAGAGCATCGAATGATGTCATATCCATCCCTGAACAGAGCATCGAATGATGATGTCATACTCATCACAGAGATGGTTTTTATGTATTTTATAGCAGCTCCATCCCGGCTCCACCCCGACACCGAATCATGGAGATCCCGGCTCCACCCCGACACCGAATCATGGAGATCCCGGCTCCACCCCGACACCGAATCATGGAGATCCCAGAGAGGTGGGGGAGGGGTCAGTACAAGGGCACTCCATAGGGAGGAGCTCCTGTATATTCCGGGGTCTCAGTACAGGTAGAGTGTAAGCTCTGTGTACAAGGCCTACAACAGGCGACATTCAGGTACCTGAGACACAAAGTTCCCCGTCACATCTTCATTCAGCTCCTGCAGCAGCTCCATGGCGGTCTCAGCCCGACTCTGCGATCAGAACACACAAATCAGAGGAATGAAAACCCCAAAACAGGAGATTCCCGGAGCAGAGGACACGGAAAATGAGGCGTGGCTGTACATGGCGGCCGGGGGAGGGGCTCACTATAGGAACACACGGGGCGATTCTCCTCCCATAGAAGTCAATGGGTATGTCAGAGCAACAGAAAGCGGGCAGATGCAGCTCAGCAGGTCACAAGGAGGTGAATTGCAGGTCAGATAAACCCGTCAATGATGGATCTCCATACCGATCAGAGATGCCGGATGAATGCCGTGAAGGGAAGCTGCGATTCCACGTATTGTAGTCCTGAGAACTGCCTGCCAGCCAAGTGCCAACAGGTTCATGGAGGACGGAATGTACGAACGAGTCCACGTCCGCCCGCCAACGACGGGTCCACGTCCGCCCGCCAACGACGGGTCCACGTCCGCCCGCCAACGACGGGTCCACGTCCGCCCGCCAACGACGGGTCCACGTCCGCCCGCCAACGACGGGTCCACGTCCGCCCGCCAACGACGGGTCCACGTCCCCGCCAACGACGGGTCCACGTCCGCCCGCCAACGACGGGTCCACGCCCGCCCGCCAACGACGGGTCCACGCCCGCCCCGCCAACGACGGGTCCACGTCCGCCCGCCAACGACGGGTCCACGTCCGCCCCCGCCAACGACGGGTCCACGCCCGCCCGCCAACGACGACGGTCCACGCCCGCCCGCCAACGACGGGTCCACGTCCGCCCGCCAACGACGAGTCCACGCCCGCCAACGACGAGTCCACGCCCGCCAACGACGAGTCCACGCCCGCCCGCCAACGACGGGTCCACGCCCGCCCGCCAACGACGGGTCCACGCCCGCCCGCCAACGACGGGTCCACGCCCGCCCGCCAACGACGGGTCCACGCCCGCCCACCGAGTCCACGTCCGCCCACCGAGTCCACGTCCGCCCACCGAGTCCACGTCCGCCCACCGAGTCCACGTCCGCCCACCGAGTCCACGTCCGCCCACACGAGTCCACGTCTGCCCATCACTGGGGAGTGAACGCGCGCCAACATCCTCCAACCAGCAGAAATCTCATGTAGCTGCAGATCTGATAGGACAGCAATCAGCACCTTGTGACAAATGTACCATAAAGTAGGAGGAGGGGTGCTATAGAGGTGCCCCTCCCCCCCATTGCCCCAGATACACTAAACCCCCCTGTAAATGCCTTTTTCTCCAGGATTTCAATGCAAAGCTCCCCCTGAACAGCTGCGGGGTGACGTCACCATGTAATTCTGCTCTGTTGGCCTATTTACACTGAGGAGGCGGAGCTTTGTGGTGACCACATGACTGCTGGCCTATATGTGACCACATGGAACAACCGAAAAGAAAGAAAAGTATTTACATCACAATTCATGGAACAATGATTATGACTCTAAAATATCCTCCCCTGCACCCCCCCCCCCCCCACATCTGTCTCCCTCCCACCTCTGTCCCCCGCCCCCCCCGCATCTGTCTCCCACCCCCCATTGTTGGGGTGCAATTCCTCTTCTCATCCAACACCCCAACTACCCCTCCCCATCCTTCTTCCCCGCCCCTTGGGACCCAACATCCCATAATACTGTATGCAGCATCCATCATCTCCTCGTCCTCCTCTGTGGATTCCATGGATTGGCTCTGGAGGAACTCCGACAATAAAACCAAAACCTGTCCCGGATTTCCGGAGGCGGCTGAGAGCAGATCTTCCTTCTCCTGCAAATCTCACCAAATAACCGACATCGACTTACCTTCCCGATGTTACTCCTGGTGAGGAAGAAACTGCGGAGAGAAACAGCAAAATTCGTTAGAAAATGTCGAAGTTCTTCCATGAAGTCCATCCATCCGAAACGGGCTTTCCATCACCAATTGGTGGCAGTAAGTGGCCACCTATTAGTATGGCAGACAGATCTCTGAACACAGCCCCGCCCACCTGAGCTCCTAGCCCCTCCCACCAGGGCTCCCAGCCCCGCCCTCCCACCAGAGCTCCCAGCCCCGCCCCTCCCACCAGAGCTCCCAGCCCCGCCCTCCCACCAGAGCTCCCAGCCCCGCCCTCCCACCAGAGCTCCCAGCCCTGCCCTCCTAGGTTTTCATTCCTCGCCCTCCTAGGCTCCCAGCCCCACTTTCCCACCTGAGCTCCTAGCCCCTCCCACCTGGGCTCCCAGCCCCGCCCTCCCACCAGAGCTCCCAGCCCTGTCCTCCTAGGCTTTCATTCCTCGCCCTCCTAGGCTCCCAGCTCCGCCCTCTTGAGCTCCCAGCCCCGCCCTACCACCTGAGCACCCAGCCCCACTCTCCCGCTTGAGCTCTCAGCCCCGCCCTCTTGAGCTCCCAGCCCCGCCCTACCACCTGAGCACCCAGCCCCACTCTCCCGCTTGAGCTCTCAGCCCCGCCCTCCCGCCTGAGCTCCCAGCCCCGCCCTCCCACCTGAGCTCCCAGCCCCACCCACTGAGGCTCCTATCAGTGCTCATCCTTTTTACATACATTGCACATTATACAGCAGAAGAAGTGAAACTCCCTACCGGGAAGGGGGGGGGGGGGGGGGGGTCAGTCAGCAGCATTGAGTCGGTAAAATATCAGATTTGGGTGAATGGACCCGTCAGGACAGGACGCTGGGAGCACCCCGGCCGCCATCATCATCCTCCCAGCAGGTTATTAATCCCGATACTTCACTGGACGCTTGCTGGAGTCCTCTGCTGTGCCCAGCGACTCGGTGGATGAAGACGGGGGGGTGGGGGGGGGGGGGTCTTGTACACTTGAAGACAAGTTGGCAGTTGCAGCTCCCGGATTTCCATCCTGATGGGTACTTTGGGGCTCATTCACACGGCTGGTTTGGGCCGTACGCAGCTGAGAACGATCATTTCCCTGGCGGGATTCACCGCCGTCCGCACTCAGCAGCCGCGTCCCGGCGCCATTGTTCGAATGGCAGGAAGAGAGCTGCAGTTCCCATAATGCACCAACCAGACCCATTGGGGATGGCAGAGGCAATCGAGGGGTCAACCCACATTGGGCGATTCGGGGAAGCGGCTCAGACAACAACCTTTCATCCAATCACTTCCCATCATACGGACGACTTACTTGTTCCCGACATCTTCGCCTCTCACCTCATTCCCGTCCACGATGGTGAAGGAGCCGATTCCTGGAAGAGATGGAGATCATCGGCATCAACCGCACCCACACCAGGAGCACATTTCTCCACCCACACCCTCCCGGCACAACTGCCACTTCTACCCTCAGATCAATGGCAGTCATTGTCACTAATCCGGAGTCCCAGACAATATATGGAAGATTACAGGACCAATCCGAGCGTTCCCAACCATCTGGCCAATCAGTGATCAACGAGCAGGAACATCGTTCCAGAATATGTACTGGGGGACTCTGACACCGGGGGTCCCCAAATAGTAGAGCCCTGACACCGGGGGTCCCTGAACAGAAAAACCCTGACACCAGGGGGTCCCTGAACAGAAAAACCCTGACACCAGGGGGTCCCTGAACAGAAAAACCCTGACACTGGGGGGGTCCCTGAACAGAAAAACCCTGACAATGGGGGTCCCCGAATAGAAGAACCCTGACACCGGGGATCCCTGAACAGAAAAACCCTGACAACGGGGGGTCCCCGAATAGAAAAACCCTGACACCAGGGGGTCCCTGAACAGAAAAACCCTGACACCAGGGGGTCCCTGAACAGAAAAACCCTGACACCAGGGGGTCCCTGAACAGAAAAACCCTGACACCAGGGGGTCCCTGAACAGAAAAACCCTGACACCAGGGGGTCCCTGAACAGAAAAACCCTGACACCAGGGGGTCCCTGAACAGAAAAACCCTGACACCAGGGGGTCCCTGAACAGAAAAACCCTGACACCAGGGGGTCCCTGAACAGAAAAACCCTGACACCAGGGGGTCCCTGAACAGAAAAACCCTGACACCAGGGGGTCCCTGAACAGAAAAACCCTGACAACGGGGGGTCCCCGAACAGAAGAACCCTGACACCGGGGATCCCTGAACTGAAAAACCCTGACACTGAGGGTCCCTGAACAGAAAAACCCTGACACCGGGGGGTCCCTGAACAGAAAAACCCTGACACCGGGGGGTCCCTGAACAGAAAAACCCTGACACTGGGGGGTCCCTGAACAGAAAAACCCTGACACTGGGGGGTCCCTGAACAGAAAAAAAAACCCTGACACTGGGGGGTCCCCTGAACATAAAAACCCTGACACTGGGGGGTCCCTGAACAGAAAAACCCTGACACTGGGGGGTCCCTGAACAGAAAAACCCTGACACTGGGGGGTCCCTGAACAGAAAAACCCTGACACTGGGGGGTCCCTGAACAGAAAAACCCTGACACTGGGGGGTCCCTGAACAGAAAAACCCTGACACTGGGGGGTCCCTGAATAGAAGAACCCCGACACTGGGGGTCCCAGAATATTAGAGCCCTGACACCGGGGGTCCCAGAATAGAAGAATCCTGACACCGGGGGTCCCCGAAAAGAAGAATCCTGACACCGGGGGTCCTCGAAAAGAAGAGCCCTGACACTGGGGGTCCCAGAATAGAAGAATCCTGACACCGGGGGTCCCTGTCAGGGTTTTTCTGTTCAACAGGGGGTCCCCGAATAGAAGAACCCTGACACGGGGGGGTCCTCAGATATTGGCACAGGAATCCAGCAATCTTGGGGGTCTCAAAGCAATGCATTCTGGGTAACGGAGTGTATATTCGACATCCGGAACCTCCAGCGGGGATCGGTTTTCAGTCTCCGGAACATGAGATCCCAACCACTGAAATCTCAAATATAATAATTATTTCATCTTTGTAAACCCGGAACGTTCTTCACGGAATACAGACAGAGATCCCGCCATAAAGCTCCTGGTGCAGGCACTTCCTGTGAGGGGGTGACACCGCTCGACCCCTTCCTCCCACCTGTGACACCCTCCCCCAAAGTCCATCACACGGCCACAATCCGAAGGATCCCCATCAGAGTCCCGTCCCGAGAAATGCAGCCATTGATGGAGCGTGGGGACAGGAAGTGGCTGCAAAGAGGCTGCAGGAGATCCGCAGCTCTGAGAGTGTGTGTGGTGCAGATCGTCTCATTGATGGAAATGTCGCCCCTCAATCTGCACATCACCTCAATTACTCACCCGGCAGCACCAAGTTTTTCAGGATTTCGGTCCCGGTTGCCGTGGCATTTATGAGACAAACGTGAGCCGATTCCAGAGCTTCCTGTCCGTGGTCACCCCATAACCTGGAAGAGAAGAGTCACATGACTAGTCCTGCACTGTATATACCGTATACTCCGGATACAGAGACCCCGAGAACGTTCTCCTTCCTACATCACCAATCTACAACGAATACCGCGGGCGGAAGTCTCGGGCGGAGGGCGGAGGACTCGGGCGGCGGGAGGAAGTCTGGGGCGGCGGGCGGAAGACTCGGGCGGTGGGCAGAAGACTCGGGCGGAAGTCTCGGGCGGCGGACGGAAGACTCGGGCGGCGGACGGAAGACTCGGGCGGAAGTCTCGGACGGAGGACGGAAGACTCGGGCGGAAGTCTCGGACGGAGGACGGAAGTCTCGGGTGGCGGGCGGAAGTCTGGGGCGGCGGGCGGAAGACTCGGGCGGAAGACTCGGGCGGAAGTCTCGGGCGGCGGACGGAAGACTCGGGCGGCGGACGGAAGACTCGGGCGGAAGTCTCGGACGGAGGACGGAAGACTCGGGTGGCGGGCGGAAGTCTCGGGCGGAGGGCGGAAGTCTCGGGCGGAGGGCGGAAGTCTCGGGCGGAGGGCGGAGGACTCGGGCGGCGGGAGGAAGTCTCGGGGCGGAGGGCGGAAGTCTCGGGCGGAGGACGGAAGACTCGGGCGGCGGACGGAAGACTCGGGCGTAAGTCTCGGACGGAGGACGGAAGTCTCGGGTGGCGGGCGGAAGTCTCGGGCGGAGGGCGGAAGTCTCGGGCGGAGGGCGGAAGTCTCGGGCGGAGGGCGGAAGACTCGGGCGGCGGGAGGAAGTCTCGGGGCGGAGGGCGGAAGTCTCGGGCGGAGGGCGGAAGACTCGGGGCGGAGGGCGGAAGTCTCGGACGGAAGACTCGGGCGGCAGGAGGAAGACTCGGGCGGAGGGCGGAAGACTCGGGCGGCGGGCGGAAGACTCGGGCGGCGGGCGGAAGACTCGGGCGGCGGGCGGAAGACTCGGGTTGCGGATAACGGAATCTGATATCGCACTTCACGTAAAAATCGACACCAGGGAAGGTGCGAGGCTTCGTCTCCATGGTCATCATACCGCGATCTGACAACGCCAGCCGTGTGTTGGGGGCGTTACTGTCTTGGGAAATGGCGCAGTCTTCGGGAAACAATGCCGGCACCATGGGGGGGGGGGGGTTTGGGGGGCACATGGTCGCTGCCAGTGACTCTACCTTTCATGGTGATGATGAGAATACAAAGATATGGCTACCCAACCATGACTGCACCATGCTTCACAGTTGACACAAGACAGTCCTGGTGGAAAGCTTGGGGCGATGTTCACCACACATGAACCCGTCCGGTGGTTGGGGAGTGTGAAACTCGAATGATTGGACCATATTACAGTCTTCCATCGATCGATTGTCCGCCATTTATGGGTGTTGCAGCACTCTGTCCTCTTCTGACCATTATTATCGCTCACTTGTGGTTCGGCCATCGCAGCTCGCCCGGGAATGTTCCGCCTGTAGAGTGTTTGTGGAAGACTGAGATTGAGCTCTGCAGTCACTTCTGTTGTCTCCTAATTCCAGGTCACAATCCTCTGCAATGTCCTTTTGTCTCTATCGGTCAGGAGACCATGTGGGCGGGGCTTATCCACATCAGACGCCATTTCCCGGAAGCTGTATACGCCGCCATCACCTTTCATACTGAACCGCGCCACACGGCAAATAAATCGGCGACTTCAGTCATAGAGGCCCCAGCTGAGCGACACCAACAATTGGAGGCTCAGCCATGACTCCGTATTACAGCAGTACCACGTAGCGAATGAGGAAAGTGAGGCTTCCCACCTGTTGGCTAGGTGTCTCATCACCCAGCAGAAGCTAAAGGATGTTACACACTTTCACCGCCAACATGGCGTCACTTTCACACCAGCCAATCATGGAGGGTTTCCAGATTTGTGTCCATCCCCTGTACCTGTATGTATGTTTATGTCGCAGTGTACCCCCCCCACCCCACTCTAATCCCAGGGGGGACCTCAGACCCCAGGATCCAATCAGCCAAAACCTCCATCAGCCTCAGAATGTCAGAGGAGATCAGAGTGACCCCCATCAACCATCAATATCCAGCAGTGACCCCAGATCATTGTCTACCATCCATTATACAATACAGCCGGTGAGGAGCCCCCCCCCGCACTGCCCCCCCATACCTGAGCTGTCTGTCATATTTCTGCTCCTTCTCCACCTTCGCCATCATCCTCACCCGGAAGTGAAACAACCGCAACCCAGGAGCAGCGCTCACATTTCACCAGCAGGTGGCGCCCGCACACCGACTGGCAGTACTCACTTCTCTCCAGCAGGTGGCGACCACACACCGCACACCGACTGGCAGTACTCACTTCTCTCCAGCAGATGGCGCCCGCACACCGACTGGCAGTACAGGCTTCTCTCCAGCAGGTGGCGACCACACACCGCACACCTACTGGCAGTACTCAATCTCTCCAGCAGGTGGCGACCGCACACCTACTGGCAGTACTCAATTCTCTCCAGCAGGTGGCGACCGCACACCTACTGGCAGTACTCACTTCTCTCCAGCAGGTGGCGCCCACACACGCACACTAGCAGTACTCACTTCTCACCAGCAGATGGCGACCACACACGCCTAGCAGTACTCGCTTCTCACCAGCAGGTGGCGCTATGAGCGCTGTATTTCGTCTACACAGAATTAGCGGCAGCAGCGCCCCGGCAGTCCTCAGAATTCCCCGGCAGGTGGCGGCAACACAGCAGAGATTGCAGGACTTGCCTGTATATAGAGGGAGATCTCCCTATTGGGATCTATAATGTGACTCTATGGGGGGGGGGGGGGGGGACAGATTAATAGTAATTATCGGTTGGGGGGGGGGGGGGGGGGGGAACTCCATCAGCTCCACCATAAAATCCAATTCTATTCTCATTTACTTCATTATATCTCTATTATCGGGGGGCTCTACATTCTGATCATTATTGGGGGGCTCTACATTCTGATCATTATTGGGGGGGCTCTACATTCTGATCATTATTGGGGGCTAATTACATTCTGATCATTATTGGGGGTTTATTACATTATGATCATTATTGGGGGCCCCATTACATTCTGATCATTATTGGGGGGCTCTACATTCTGATCATTATTGGGGGCCCCATTACATTCTGATCATTATTGGGGGCCCATTACATTCTGATCATTATTGGGGGGCTCTACATTCTGATCATTATTGGGGGCCCATTACATTCTGATCATTATTGGGGGCCCCATTACATTCTGATCATTATTGGGGGGCTCTACATTCTGATCATTATTGGGGGCTAATTACATTCTGATCATTATTGGGGGCTAATTACATTCTGATCATTATTGGGGGCTAATTACATTCTGATCATTATTGGGGGGCTCTACATTCTGATCATTATTGGGGTGCTCTACATTCTGATCATTATTGGGGGCCCCATTACATTCTGATCATTATTGGGGGCCCCATTACATTCTGATCATTATTGGGGGCCCCATTACATTCTGATCATTATTGGGGGCCCCATTACATTCTGATCATTATTGGGGGGCTCTACATTCTGATCATTATTGGGGGCCCCATTACATTCTGATCATTATTGGGGGCCCCATTACATTCTGATCATTATTGGGGGGCTCTACATTCTGATCATTATTGGGGGCTAATTACATTCTGATCATTATTGGGGGCTAATTACATTCTGATCATTATTGGGGGCTAATTACATTCTGATCATTATTGGGGGGCTCTACATTCTGATCATTATTGGGGGCTCTACATTCTGATCATTATTGGGGGCCCCATTACATTCTGATCATTATTGGGGGCCCCATTACATTCTGATCATTATTGGGGGGCTCTACATTCTGATCATTATTGGGGGCTAATTACATTCTGATCATTATTGGGGGCCCCATTACATTCTGATCATTATTGGGGGCCCATTACATTCTGATCATTATTGGGGGCTAATTACATTTTGATCATTATCGGGGGGCTGTACATTCCGCACATTGACCCCATTGTGGCCCCCGTAGTCCCCCTGTGAAGCTGCAGCGGGGCCCCAGTCGCAGGGATGGGAAGGACGGCGCACTTCCCACGTCTGTCAGCTGTTAATTCTCAGAATGGCGAGATTTACTAAAGACAAATAGATGGCAAAGTGCAATTCCTCCAGAAATGAGGAGGAGCTCCGTTGACTTCCATCATCCAATCAGGTGCAAGCAGAAATGTGATTGGGTAATCTTTGTAAAGTGAAGCCCCGCCTCTCGTACTAAACTCTGGAGGAACATGCAGAGTGCGCCGTCTAGTTGTCTTTAGTGATTTCCCCCAGACCCCCCCACCCCCGAGAACTGAGCGATGGATTCCGACTTCTCTCTCTGGGGAGCGACTGTGAAGTTGGAAGAGAGAGGAGGTCGGAGGAGGGGGTCGGAGGAGAGGAGGTTGGAGGAGAGGAGGTCGGAGGAGATGTGATCGGAGGAGAGGAGATCGGAGGAGAGGAGGTCGGAGGAGAGGAGGTTGGAGGAGAGGAGGTTGGAGGAGAGGAGGTTGAGGAGGCGATCGGAGGAGAGGTGATTGTAGGAGAGGAGGTCGGAGGAGAGGAGATCGGAGGAGAGGAGGTCGGAGGAGAGGAGGTTGGAGGAGAGGCGATCGGAGGAGAGGTGGTCGGTAGGAGAGGAGGTCGGAGGAGAGGAGATCGGAGGAGAGGAGGTCGGAGGAGAGGAGGTTGGAGGAGAGGCGATCGGAGGAGAGGTGATTGTAGGAGAGGAGGTCGGAGGAGAGGAGATCGGAGGAGAGGAGGTCGGAGGAGAGGAGGTTGGAGGAGAGGAGGTTCGGAGGACAGGTGAGAGGAGAGTCGGAGGAGAGGAGATCGGAGGAGAGGAGGTCGGAGGAGAGAGGTTGGAGGAGAGGCAATCGGAGGAGAGGAGGTCGGAGGAGAGGAGATCGAGGAGAGGAGGTCGGAGGAGAGGAGGTTGGAGGAGAGGAGGTTGGAGGAGAGGCAATCGGAGGAGAGTGGTCGGGAGAGGAGATCGGAGGAGAGGAGGTCGGAGGAGGAGGTTGGAGGGGGATCGGAGGAGAGGAGGTTGGAGGAGAGGCGAGGTCGGAGGAGAGGAGATTGGAGGAGAGGAGGTCGGAGGAGAGGAGGTCGGAGGAGAGGCAATCGGAGGAGAGGTGATTGGGAGAGTAGGTCGGAGGAGAGAGATCGAGGAGAGGAGGTTGGGAGGAGAGGAGGTTGGGAGGCAATCGGAGGAGAGTTAGGTCGGAGGAGATCGGAGGGAGAGGAGGAGAGAGGAATCGGAGGAGGAGGTTGGAGGAGAGGCAATCGAGGAGAGGAGATCAGAGGAGAGGAGGTCAGGAGGAGAGGAGGTCGGAGGAGAGGCATCGGAGGAGAGTGATTGTAGGAGAGGAGAGGAGGGCAATCGGAGGAGAGTAGGTCAAAGGAGAGGAGGTAAAAAGAGCACAATGGGGCTCAGGGTGAGATTTCTGCTGCTGCTCCTAATTTTGAGATATGAATTGTGTGCCGGAAATAATTCCACCAACAACTGTCCAGTACAACCACCTCCCTCATCTCTGTGTATTGCAGGGCGGAGCTTCACCTTTTATACATAGAGAACAACAGAGTCCATGTCACTATTACAGTCACATTCTAAAAGGCACATTTTACTCGGCTGAAATATGGGAGAAATGTGGAAACTTGAAGCTTCTCGCCCGTTATCTCCTCACCCCCCCCCCCCCCCCACATACTCCAAGTCTAAGGTCCTGTCAGTGCGAAGGGGGGGGGGGGTTGGGAACATCGCTCTGAGCAAACAAGTAGGAGGACTGCAAAGCCCAGCAGACAATATATATATAAAATATACAACACATATAATTAGAAATATGAAAAGTATAAAAGTAAATATGTATAAAATGTGTATTTTAAACAGGAAACCGAATAGGCATTTTACCAAATCCATCACAGAGGTCGGAGGAGAGGAGGTCGGAGGACAGGCGATCAGAGGAGAGGAGGTTGGAGGAGAGGAGGTTGGAGGAGAGGAGGTCGGAGGAGAGGAGGTCGGAGGACAGGCGATCGGAGGAGGAGATTGGAGGAGAGGAGGGTTGGAGGAGAGGAGGTTGGAGGAGAGGAGGTCGGTCGGAGGAGAGGAGATTGGAGGAGAGGAGGTTGGAGGAGAGGAGGTCGGAGGAGAGGAGATTGGAGGAGAGAGGAGAGGAGGAGAGGCGGGAGGTCGGAGGAGAGGAGGTCGGAGGAGAGGAGGTCGGAGGAGAGGAGGTCGGAGGAGAGGAGGTCGGAGGAGGGGAGGTCGGAGGAGGAGGGAGGTCGGAGGAGAGGCAGCCATCTTGGGAATATCCTATCAGCACCAATTGCATACAGTCAAGGGTGCTCATCATTCCCTCCCCTGTGCACTACAAATCCCATCTTCCCACCACCTCATCATCCTCCCATCATCCTCCCATCATCCCCCCCATCATCCTCCCATCATCCTCCCATCATCCTCCCATCCCCCCATAGTCTATCTCAGGAGCCAGCAAGAGAGGGGAGCTACCTTCCTACATACAGGGGACCATGGAGAAGGAACATAGCTGGGTGCTGAACCTGCGGCCCTTCAGCTGTTGCAGAACTACAAGTCCCATCATCCTCCCCTCCTCTGTGCACTACAAGTCCCATCATCCTCCCCTCCTCTGTGCACTACAAGTCCCATCATCCTCCCCTCCTCTGTGCACTACAAGTCCCATCATCCTCCCCTCCTCTGTGACTACAAGTCCCATCATCCTCCCCTCCTCTGTGCACTACAAGTCCCATCATCCTCCCCTCCTCTGTGCACTACAAGTCCCATCATCCTCCCTCCTCTGTGCACTACAAGTCCCATCATCCTCCCCTCCTCTGTGCACTACAAGTCCCATCATCCTCCCCTCCTCTATGCACTACAAGTCCCATCATCCTCCCCTCCTCTGTGACTACAAGTCCCATCATCCTCCCTCCTCTGTGCACTACAAGTCCCATCATCCTCCCCTCCTCTGTGGACTACAAGTCCCATCATCCTCCCCTCCTCTGTGGACTACAAGTCCCATCATCCTCCCCTCCTCTGTGCACTACAAGTCCCATCATCCTCCCCTCCTCTTTGCACTACAAGTCCCATCATCCTTCCCTCCTCTGTGCACTACAAGTCCCATCATCCTCCCCTCTCCTCTGTGCACTACAAGTCCCATCATCCT